CAGCGCTCTAGAAAGTGTTCAGGCTTAGATAAGCCTTCCATTCATGCTTACCAAAGTGACAAACTTCTAAACAACGGAATTTGGAAAAAAAAGATTCCTATAGCCTCAATGTTTCAGTCTTCAGACATAAATCTCATGCTCAGTGATGGCCACAGATATCCTGAATCAGTGACAAGCTAGTCTTATTATGCCCTATCTTTATTCCTGACTTGGTGAGCATGGTTATTTTCTATCACTAACTTTTGATGTGATCAGTTTCCCATCATTAGTAACTGGAATATTCTTGGTAAAATGCCTGTCTCTAACACCAATTAAGAGTTTGGTGAATTTAGAAAAAAAAAAAAAAAATTCCATAGTATTATCAGTAACACAGTGATTACATTAACTGTCTTGCAAGTTTATTGTGACATTGGGAATAATCTACCTTTTAATAGTATTGAATAAAAAATACCTATTAATCATGACCTACCAAGAGGTTTATAAAATGTTCCATAATCCATACCAATATTTAAATTTGAAATAAAAATAGTAGTTCATTACAAAAAAAAAAAAATTACTACTTCAGGGAGAAAAACTCTTCTCATCACTTTAAGTTGGTTTTTATAAATATATGAAAGAAATACAATGTTGCATATGTTTAATCTGTATGACATTCCCATTCCATTTGAAGAGGTTAAGTTGTGTGCCCTTACATGATTGTTTAAGTGGCGAAGTTCAGGACAGTTAAAACTCAAATTCTCATGTATTCCTCACAATACCACTCTGTCCTACCATAGGATTGTTATAGTTTAGCATAATTCATGAAGTTTACTGTGGTGTGTAGGTGATATATTCAGAGACTTATTTTTTTAAATACTTAGATGTATTTTCATTAATATATCCCAAAAGTACTGGCTACATCATAATCTGTCTTATTACAAAACAGAAACAAAATCTTGAAATATATTCTTGACAGTAGGTAAAATCTTTTGCTTGGAAAAAGCTCTGGTTTGCTTTGTTATGCTTTTTGTTGTTGTTTTGAAATGTCAGTCTTTGTTTTAAATGCCAGAGTTTTCACACATCCATCAAACCCCTTTGCTGCCAAAGACTGAGCTAAACTGCGCCCCCCAGAATTATAATCATTCTTTGAACATGAGCAAAAGAATAATTATATTTAAATTGTATTTAAATTAAAATGTCCTTTGTAAAGGGAAATCTGGGGAACTTGAAATTCTCTCGAACATACTAAAAGGAAAGTTATCATGAAGATTTTGATATGTTATCCTTTGTTTCTTTCATTTACTGCTTGAAAAAGTGTTCTGTGTTACCTATTACTGTTATTTTTCTACCATCAATGCATTTATCTTCGTGGTGTTTTTTAGAAGAAGCCAAAGAGACTAGACTTGTAGTACATGCTCTTTGTATACGTTAATCAATATCATCAGCTCCTCTACAGCAACATCTGAAACTTCCCAGGACCAAATAGTGTTCTGACGTTTCCTGAGGAAATTCCATTTCCAAATTAAAGCACAGATCTTAAATATGCTCAGATGACATGGATCTGAACTTAGAATCACTGTATCTCAGATTCCCCAAGATTTGCAGGTACTCGGGCAGCTCCATTTATCTTAAACTACCTCCTAAGACAGTTTTTTAAATTTCCTTTTCAAGTGGATTTTAATACTAAAGTTAAAAGCATGAGCTATATTTATAAGCTTCCATCAGCTGTAAATAATAATATTCACCTGTTCGGACATAAGGTGTCCCACGACTTCAAAACTACCAGAGACTCATGTTACAAATGCAGCTATTTTTAGCCCAGAGCATGGCTGTTGCTACTACTGCTTGAAAAAGGCACTATTTTATCAAGTGTTTTGTAGACAGAAAAATGGATAAACACCCTTGTTATATTACCAAATCACTATCAGTAAAACATGTTTATTGGGCCATTTTTATGTCCTCTTTTCTTTGAGTCAAAAATCATGGACATTTAAAGGCAATCTGCTTCATAAGAAAGAGCTGCATGTTAAAAAAATAAAAACTAAACAGAAAGGTAAAATCACCATAGAGGTTATACATAATGTTGGATGAGTTTATGGAACACATTCTATTGGAAAGATTTTTTTTTAATTGAACCCCTAAATATTCTACTCTAGAAAAGTTTATCAGACTAAAAAGGAGCCAGAGATTACAATATTCTGAACACTTTGAAAATAAGACTGAAGACTTATTAAAGGACTGTCCAAAACAGTACATGGGAAAATCATCGTTAGAAAAAATTCTATGGTGGGCTGCCATGTGATTACTGTGTATTCTTAAGCTCCCAGTAAGCATACTTTCTTTACCTAAGAGTGGCAATTAGTTGTTTTCTCATTTGTCTTTCTAGAGAAATTAAAGTTAGATAAGAGCCTGTACTGCCTCACACACAGTGAATTGAAGACAACAAGAGAAAGCATTCTGTCTGACTGACAACCAGATTAGTGGATAATGGTAGAAGTGCTGACGCAACCTCAAACACACCAGGACACAAGAGGCAAGGTTGTGCTTTCACTTAAAACCCTAAAACTGGGTATAAACAGCAAAGTATGCACATTTGATACCAAAATTAAAATGCAAGTTGAAAATAATAGTTTAGGGGAAAGTTTCACTAGAAACTGGGCCTAAGTAGGACACACTGTCGTCAGAAGAAACATTCCAGAAATTTTCCTTCTTGAAATGAAACCTCACCTTCTCAAGGCAGTTTTAATTCTAATTAACCCAACGGTTTTTAATTAAGCTGTGAAGATCTTGGGGAAGGACCTTCAGTAAAACTGTCCTTGGTGGTTCTTCCCAAGGTGTTTTCCAGATAGAATGAAGTAGACCTCTTAAAACCTTCCGAGATATTTTCCTCCCGGCCTTCTGCTACTCTACACAAAAACCAGACTCAATAAAGCTGCCTGCCTTTGGAATGGGCAAGAGAAGAATTCCTGAGTTCATCCTGGTGTCCCTTTGTCTCCAAACACTGGTAGATGGAAGCTTTGTGTTCAAATAACACTTTTAAAGCACATTTTCTGACTGGTAACAGTAATTTTCTGTATTTTATTCTCTTTTCCTTCACAACCGAACTGCTACGACAGAAAGTCAAGAAGTTGTTCCACATAACCTAGGAGGAAACCCTCTCCACTTCCAAACCATCTGTTATTTTGGGGGCGCTGAAAACAATTTTTTAAGTGACATAAAGCTAAAGCTGATTTTCAGAAGAATGAGGAAAGAATAAAAGGTTGGGGGGGGCTGTCAGAAATTGTGCCTGACTTTGATTTTCACTTTGCACAGTCCTATAGCCACTACATTTGCATTAAGCTTATGTCTTATTTCTTTGCCCAGAGGGGGGAGCAGCTGAAATAAATGAGAATGGAGGCAATTAAGAAAAGATTAGCAAACACTGCATGCTGCTCAAATAAACTTGAGCTGGCTTCTCTCCATTCACCACATTCCAGGCGAAGGGAAAAGGATAACAGCCAGAGAGGCAAAAGGGAGCTGAAGCTGGGTTTGCTAACCTATCTGGAAAGTCTTTATGCAATCAGAAGGCTATTATTTCAGGAGACTGGGAGAAGGGGGCAAAAGATTCCGTTGCTAAGGAGACCTGCTGAAGCTGGCATTCCTACATAAATTTCCATTTCTATTGAAAAGGGGAAAGAAAAGATATTTTCTCCAAAGTTTATTTGGATCCCCTAGTTACAGAAGAAAGGCATTTCACGGATTGATTTTATCTTCAGTTGTAAACAACCAACTCTGAAAGAATTAAAAGACCTAAATGTTGACCTCCTGCTGCCAACCAGTCCCCTTCACTATGAATTAATCAACAAAGAAGAAATCCTTCAATAGGAATTCTGAGGTAACTGCAAAGAAAAAGCCTTTTGTAAGCACAAAATTAAAGGAAAGAATTTAACCAAGTGAACTAATCTCTCTCATAACAAGAAATGAAAGACAAAGAAACATCAGATTTTTGTGGCTCTTTGTGCTATTTCAACTTTATTGGAACTTGAAACCTTTCCAGTAAAGCTTTATAAATAGTCTCAGAGAAGACGTGAAACAGTCAAGAAGGAATTTAATGAGTTTCTCAGGTCAGAGAGTGTGAGAGAGAGTGTGTGTGTGTGTGTGTGTGTGTGTGTGTGCGCGTGTGCGTGTGTGTGTGTGTGTAGGCACAGCCAGCAGAAGGATCCGGATTAGAGAGGGGATTTTGCAGGAAGGAACTGGAAGTTGAGAAATTTCTGCTAAGGGAATAATTGGGGCGCTGGAGGGTCGGGCAGGGAGTAACAGTATTGCGCTAGCAGCCTCAGCGATTGGTTACCACATACTCTCTCCCCTTTCCCATCCACTTGCAGTTTTCACTACTGGCTGAATAAAGCTCAACTTTCCAGGCAACTGTAACTAAGCCCATAGAGAAACGGACTGGAGTAGAGTTTTGTAGTGGTAGAGAAAGAAGGGCAACTCAGAAACAATGGTGTCCAAAAAAGGAAAGGAAATCAAATCTGTCTCTCCCCCAAATTTAAGGGGACAAAAACCCAAGTGAAAATTCACTCTGGAAACCCCAGTAAAAGTGGACTTGAACAGGCAGAAACGTGGGCTCTAAGAGGTAAACTTGGGCACTTAGAGACTTGGAAAATGAGGGGAACTCTGCGCAGAGAAGCCACACACATTGGATTTGGGGCGTTTGCCCCGTTTTTCTTTAACGGGAGTGTGGAAGTCACTGCATCTTTTACACAGCCACACGGTTCTCGCTTTCAATTATAACAACTGCCCAAAATAGCACTCCTGTTACTTCAGAGCGGGAGGGACCGCTACGGGAAGAGGGGAGGCCGTGGGAGGTCGCTAGAACCGGGTGGGGAGAGGGGCGCCAGCAATAAGGTCTGGGGCTCGTGGGTCCGCAAGGGGCCGCGATGGGAGGACAAGTAGGACACGGGAAGACGGGGCGAAGCGGTGGCAGCAGAGGGGCGCGGGGTGGCCAGGGCGGGAGTGCGGGGCGCGGCGCGGGGGCTCACCGCTGCCGAGCGTGGACTCGCAGTGCCAGATGTCCAGGCTGGCGGGCTTCCGGCAGGACTCCCACAGGGACAGGTAGTACTGGTGGTCGGCAGTGACCCAGGCCGGGCTCAGCACGGCTCCCAGGTCCAGACACAGCGCCAGGAAGATGCACACGAGCCCGACCAGTTTGAGCGGGGTGAGCACCGACACGCGCACCTCTTCCATGCCGCTGCCCGCCGAAGCCATGCCGGGCCGCCGCAGCCGCCCTCCCCGACACGCGAGGACGCCGGCGGCTCCGGAGAGTCCGCAGCTCACTCCCGACTGACCCGGGAGGCGACGCCGCGCGGGACTAGAGCTCCTGCTCCACGCACGAGGTGCTCTGCGATCGGCGGGGGTGACCTGGCCGGGGAGGGGCGGCTGGCCCGACTGGGGTCTTCAGCAGCGGCGTTCACTCCTCGGACCCGCACACGTCACGCCGCGGACCTTCCCCGCTGCCTCTGCTGCAACAGCTCCTGCTCCGCCCTGGCGCGGCCAGGCTCGCTCCGCCCCGCCCCGCCCCGCCCCGGGCTGCGGGAGGCGGTGCCCAGCGAGAGGGGTGGAGGGTGGCCACCGGGCTGCTGCAGGCTCTGGCTTCTGGCGCCAGAGGCTCCGGCTTGGCCCGCCACTGGCCGGCGTGCCCGCTGCGTGCAGCAAAGCTAAACCGCCGAGCCCTAGCAGCGCCTGCTCCCGGGTCTCACTCTCCAACTCGCTCTGTCACGTGGCTTTCCTTTTCTTATGGAGCAGGGATGAACCGTTTATTTATTTTTTTTCTAGAAGGCATCTGATGTAGATTCCTAGGTTTCTTACTATGTGGCCTGTGGAGGAAGGAGAGGTCCCCGCTCTCAGTATTAGAAAATCTTCTTCCCAGCCCGTTTCACTTCTCGAGGGATGGAGAGGAAAAAAGGAAAAAGTAATGAAGAGCATTTCACCCTCTTCTGGCGCCCAGAACGGGCCGGGGAGCCACCCTCCCACCCCCACCTCCCCGCTCTGCATATCTCAGTTCTCCCTCAAACCTTCTGCCTATTCTGTTCTCGCAGCTCGCCTGCTTTTACGCCCGCTATGAAGGGCAAGTGGGAGTTAAAACGGGAATGACAGATTTCACAAAATGTAAACTAAACCTTATTTGCATCTCCGCTGCTCTGTCCTTTGTATGTTAGCTAAAACCCACATTCAGTCTACGCTGTGCTCAGCTAGATTTGAATCTCTACCTCGGTATTACGCTGTCCTTGTCCCTTAGTAAACTCTAGTCCAGGGCCTGCGATAGAAAAAAGTGGTATTCCATTCCGGAATGGGAAACTAATGAATCTACATATTTGTCTGAAAATGTGAGTTAAGAATTCACCCCGAAGGACATTGACTTGGCTCTTAAGGAACAGCTTCCTTTTTTCCAAAATATATAAGAACTGAATACTCCTTAAAATGGAATTTGTGGTTCTGTAATTAGGGAGTTCGCCATGTGATCAGCAGCGTATCTGTGTTAAACCTATTCTGACTGCTTTCAATCTTGCCTATATAAAGCAAAATTTATTTACTAGGTCATTCACCTTTTAAAAAACTTGGGATAATGACCCGAAAAATGAAAAGGACATTCTCCTCTTACAACATACCATTCCTGACCATGAAGGATTTTTTCCCGGTCTCTTCTAAAGGCCTTTTTCCATAGGCTTACCACATTTTGACCAAACTTTGGAGTGGAAGAAGCAAAGTAGTGTCAGCTAACCTGAGAATAAGAAGCAACCCCAGGTGAAATAAAACCAAGGAATTCTTACATCCATAAATCATTCCCTACCACTCTACCACTCTCATGTTAATTATCTTTACAAACAAGCCTGGAATACTCTGACCTCCTCAGATTTAAATTTATGAATGCTTCTTGGCCACCCAATTAGAAAGAAGCCTACGTGCCCCACCTTCCATTAAAAATGGTACCATGGGGAACACTAAATTTTCCAAACTAGGAGGATAAAAATAGGTGACCAGTGTTGTGATGCTTCCTTTAACCTAGAGTTATATTTGAGTGTTTATAATGTACATCCAACAGTGAGTAATCCTTAAAAAGAATTTTTAAGCACACTCTGGGTTATAAAGCCATTTTTTCCTCCATTTTCCAGTACCTTACCTTAAGTAAATTCTTTTTAGAATCAGCTAATATTTTTCTTATTCATCAGCGAGTTACTGAGGCCTTCTCTACCACTCCTGTACCAACTAGCACGTTTACATCCATTGTTCTGGATTGTGCTCAAATGCATACTTGAATTATTCCTGTGTACTACTTACAATTTTTTCTCCATATTATTTTCAAAATTAGAAAAATAAACTATTTCTGACAAATAGTCAAAACTCCTAGAATACTCTCATTCTGCTATTAATCTTTTATAAAGTTTGCAAAACATAATTCAGATCAAGCAGCATCAGTGTCAACTTTTAAAAGATACAGGTCTCAAGACAAAAGTATTATTTATTTTTAATAAGTTTTTAACAAACTCACTTCATTGAGAATTTATTTCCAACTTGTGTGAGAAGAATTATAGTTTTGATTTATCTCATTAGTGTGAATAACCACAGACCATGTTGAGACTTGTGTAATTTATGGTATGAACACAGTAGTATCTTTCAAGCATCTAAAAAATTCTGAATTTCCCATCTCACTTGGCTCCCAAATTTTCACAAAAGGGATAGTGGACAAGTATGTACCTTAAAAATTGTAAAAGTAGGGGTATTCAAAAGAAAATACCTGACTGGAAATGGAGGTAGGAAGTAGGTAAGACAGGATAATTTAAACTGTCTCTCTTCCTCTCTCTATATATATATGTATTCACACATGAAGATATATTTTGTGCTATCATATGTGCATATATTTTATACACAGTGACTGTAGCAAAAACCCACAATAGAAATAGACCCAGATTTGAGAAAATGAAATAGGTCCACACTGAGCAGTGTAGAAAATCCAGGTTCCTAGTCCATGAGAATCGACTTGAGAGCTCTTATGAGGAATGTTTGTATTGATCCTGCACTATCATATCACACAAAGCCAGAGTTCTCTTTGCACTGAAGTCTAGCCTGAGATGACATACTGCCTATTCACCCCTCTCCTGGAACAATAGCTGTGTTACATGGTATAGGAGCTCTTTGAAAATCAAAGGCATGCATTTGGGTACCAAGAGAAAGGCAGGAAGCAGTCTCTATACAAGCTCTGAAGTTAAAGGAAGAGATCAGCTCCCAATCTTAAATCAGTGGAACCAGAAAAACAAAAGGGGTCAGCAATAAAAGAGCTTGAGGTTGCATGGAAGATATTAGAGAATCTACCAGAGATGTTTAATGTTTCACAGCTGTAATACATGGTGGAGAAGAGATATGGGGAGAGTGTGTTACAGTATTTGAACATGTCTTCAAAGAACAAGAAGCAGTTAATATCACACTGTTGGGGCATAGCCTACAAACAAAGGCAACATCTCCATTTACTTGTCAGTTAAAAGGTGCATGTGGCTACTAAGTTTAATGGAATAGGACTTAATCAGTTAAGAAGGGAAAAAGTTTATTGTTTTCAGGAATGAACACGACCAATCTCATAGACTGTTCTAGTCCTCAGTTCATCACTGTCATAGCAGCTGCTGTTTACTGTCAATCCTAAAGCCTTCTTTAGATGTGGAAGTGTCCTTCTGCTTTTCTGAATACAGACTACAATCCATGTGAAGTAATCTTTATCTGTGGGGTACAGGGCTACATTCAGTCAGATTTTCCCCTCCCGGAACCTGGAAATTATTTTCCACACTGGGATCAATTCAGATATGCATGACCTAGACCTCTTTGATCCCAGAGAAGAAGAAATAATATGGAGGAATCAATTCCAGGAATGAAAACAATGAAGCAGTCATTGGGAAATTAGAAATACCAGCTGTTTTCCCAGTGTAGCTGGCAACACAGTTGTTAAATTACTTTAGGAAGAATAACCAAAGGTATATACTTTAGAGACTTACTGACTTACTACTTGTACTTACAAGTCCATTCTCAAGGTCACTCCAATGGATTTGGATATAAATTACATCGTAATATAATGACACATGCTTGCTATTTATGATCTTTAATGAGGTCAATAGAGTTCAAGGTTAAGTGTATTCTCTGTTGTATTTTTGGAATTTCTTGTTGTATTGTGGCAAAGTTCTTCACTTAGGATTATCAAAAATAACTATGATTAATGATTGTTGATCCTAATTTTTAAAAAAAGAAGTTACAAAAATTATGAATTCCTCATCTAAAAAGTAAATTCCATCGTTTTCTAATATACCTCTGATTTTAAAATGTACTACACTGTGGATTAAGTTCAGCCAATAATAATATACTCACAATTCATTTTGTGATGATGTTTTGACTTTATATAAATTGATGTTTCATATTAATACCCATGACCATAATGATTTTCTCACCCACAAAGAAAGGAAATAAATCAGGAGAGCGAAAACATTAGAGGACATTGGAGGGAAAGAATGATTAGTTTTAAAATAAATATTTTTGGTGTAATGAAAAAAAAAGTATGAGTCAGATGCCCAGGAGGTAGTAATATAGGAAAGTTAAATATTTTCAGTGGGAATAAAGGCATTTAAAATTAGAAAATTACATCATGATTGCATATTATTCTTTTTATTTCTCTGTTCCTATCACTACCAGTTAATGTAGTTTTGGATCCAAATACTTGATCCTGAACTGACTTGGGGTATCCTTGGACACCATCCTAGACATGCATCATTTCAGTATCTGATTCCGAGAACTTGTGCTGGAGAACTAAATTGAAAACTGAAGAATGAAAGCATCAGAATTTGTTACTCTGGTAGTTGAAATTTAGGTGGGATGAGAAACCTTAGATTGTGCCTCATAGAGCTGGAAGGGGCTTGCTATTGAACCATGACCTGGGCATTGACCTGGGCACTGACCAAGGAAACTGGAAGTGGGAAGGAACATCAGAAAGCATCCCAAGGAATGATGCTTTCTCCTGATCTCCTTGACGACGGTTAGCTTACTTTCTTCTATTACTCTAAATTTAATCAAGAACTACCTTTGTACATGTTGAAACTTTTTCATACAAACTTATTTTCATTTGCCCATTTGAATGGGGGTACTTGCATATAGAAAGAAATTTCTAGAAAACTACCCGTTTAGATACCCTTTCCCAAATTAGAATGTGATAGCATCAATTTCTCAACTTAGGAACACATTGGGGCTGTGGATGTAGCCCAGGTGATAGAGTGCTTGCAAGGCCCTGGGTATCATCCCCAGTACCAAATAAACAAGGTGTGACAGCACAAGTCTCTAATCCCAGCACTATGGAAGTGGGAGGATCAGGAGTTCAAAGTCACCTTCAGTAAGGAGTTCAAGGGAAGACTGGGATACAGGAGTCTGTGTTAGTAAAATAAAATAAAATGAAGAACTAGTTTATCTATACTGGTATATGAATAGGTACTGTTGTATTCTCTCATGTATCTGATTTTGTAATATATACCA